CTAGTTTAAACGCATTAGTTCTCACATACCTCTTTAGGACTCAAGATCTTGTATTTATAGTATTCTCTTGGGGCCTAGCCCACTCCTAGTCCTTGCATGTACTTCTACACGGCCCTTGTTTTACTGGCAGGAATGCCGGCTCTTTTATTCGGCCCCTCAATTGGATAAGGTCAATGCCGAATAAAAGTTATGTTCTAGACCGGATTGGTCCGCTCCTGTTGATCCAAAATTATGTTCTCTATTGTAGCAAACTAGAAGTGTGGCAGCAAAACTGGTCGGCCGACCAGAAAAACTAGCTAGCCTACCACTTTTTCTGGTCTACAGTAATGGTAGGTGGTCGGTAGGTGGTTGGAAACATCAACAACTGGTCGGCAATGCTCCTACAGGTTCCCAAGGTGGAGTAGACACTATCTGGAGCTTTGTGCAAGGTTCTGAGAACAAATAAAAATAGAGGCAAGTTGGGGCATCGCGATCGATTTCCGAACGAGGCGACCGAGCATGCATACACTTCTCGCCTCAAGGCTCCTGTTTCATTGCTTTTCTTAGATAGCTAGCTTATGCTTTGTTTTGTACTCAATTAGTTAATGCGCTTAACTATTCAATTTGTGTTGTAATAACTAGTTAGTTAACTTGTTAGTTAATTAGCTTGTTTTGTAATAGTTAATTAACTAGAATTAGTTAATTAACTTCGTTTTGTAATAATTAGTTTAATCAGCTTAGATTAGCTAGTTAGCTCATTATTCGGACCCTTCGTCGAGAGGACACAACTGTTGTAATAAGCGTGCGTGTGTGTGATGCATGTCTTCCAATCCCCATTTCTTTCTCCCTTTTACTTATCTGTTTACGATGGTTAGTTTTAGGGCATGTTTCAATTAGTATCCTTATGCTTTGCATGCGTGCACCCATTCATTCGTATTGCATGCACTGGGCTCGGCGCATCATACTAACTGCATTGTATTTCAATTCCAATTTGAATACATGTATCAAATTGCATTTCACATGACATCTTAGAATAGCCGAACCTATTTTAGTTGCATTTTTGCATGTGTTGCATTAGCCATCTTAACATGAACTAGGATCATACATGATTTCTAACTAGTTCTCTGTTTTGGCTCGGAGTACACTTGAGTGTTTACACTTTAGCATACTGCATGAGATGTGTATGTTGCCATGTTAGCATACTTGCCATGAGGCTAACTGCTTAAGTGATTAACTGCTTGAATGCCTGTGGGTGGAGGTTGGATTGCTTGAATTGGAACAATTCATGGAACTGCACTCGAGGGTGGCAAAATTCACGACTTAGCCTACTTGTGAGTAGCACCTCTAAACCATTTTCAAACATGCAAACATGAAATGTTTTGTTCCAACGTAGGCGATCTAGTCTATACTTGTGCACTGTGCGTATCATATAGTAATTTTAGGTTAATAACTGGAATAAGAACGCATGTGTTTTCAAAAACAAAATATCATGTTAGTAAAGGCCGATCTTTTGATCGGATGAGCGGGGGTGCTCATTGTATGACCTTCCCCTCTCGTACCCAAGTTCCCGAGCCGAGGCAACTTTGGTGATGACGGACACGTGGCCTTCGACACGAGTCAGGGTTTTCTAAATTTCTCAAAATAAAATATTTAGGTGGCGACTCTGTATCTGGAAAAGTAGTCCATGTTTGGCAATTCTTTATTAAAATCGATTTTCCAAAACGATTTGCCGGATTTGGACTCTTTGGTGATTTATTAGTCTCACATTGCACTTTGTGAGATTAGATTCAGAACCGTGACGCGAGTTCGAACTGTAGTAGCTAAGAACAAACAATTCGCGCCCTCGTGCGCGGAGGCGGGAGTTCTCGAGCGGTCTATAGGGTGCATGTTTAATGTATATCATGAATCCATAATTCCTCTGTGGTTATTGTACTTAAAGAAGTACAAATACAATTATGTTGAGGTTGTGAAAGCAAAGAGGTCATAATTGTTGTAAGAAAAAAAAAAAAAGAAGAAGAAAAAGAAACTCTTTTAAGTGTAACATTGCATATTATATAGTTAATATTAAAAAAAAAATATAGAATTTGCTTTTAATTTCCAAGATTCTTTAATAATTAATTTTTCCATGTTCAATCCCTTACCCACTAATATGTTAGGGTAGGTTAACCACTTGCAAATTAAGTTACAAATTAATAACAAAATGATTAATGTTATAGTAGGTCAGCTGCTAATGTCATATGGTTGCCAAAGTTAATAATTGCACCTGGTTATATTTTGTTTTTTTGTTTTTTTTTTTATCAACAAAAAAAAAAAAAAAAAAAAAAAAAAAAAAGAAAGATGCTATATAGTGTCATCACCACATTCGTGGGCTCTGGCTGTAATAACCCCAACCTCTGATTAACGTTAATTCATAATTAAATAAGCCTAATCAGTAATTAAGGTGAAATCCTGGATTAATTACATGTGTATGTTGCATTAGTGTGCTTATATCAGTTTATTGTAGAAATACCTATTTCTATTTTTGTTTCGTTCTACGAATTGAAGGCCTTATCGGCATCTAATTACGAAATTGACTTGATTTATGTGTTATTTAGGATTTTTCGAAAATTATGGTAGGTTTAATTAAAATTTGGTTCGGAACGATTAAATTAGAATAATTTAATGTCCAATTGATTAGTTGATCAACAATTTAATTAAACCATTAGCCAAGCCTATATAAGGCTCTCATATGTGTCTACACTCATTCTTTTCTTCATCTTAACACATTTTTGAACTCACACACAAACCAAATGAGAGAGAGAGAGCTCAAATTAAGAAGATTGCTAGAGAACTTAGAGGATTTAGCTTGGAACTCCCAACAATTGATCATTTAAAGCATCATTGACAAGCCTATGTAAGAATTCAACCTTTAGATTGTACAATTATGATGTGTAAGACATGAACTCTAGAGAATTATGATGGATAATGCAAGAATTAAGCTAGAAATGAAGATAATTGAACCATGTCATGTATGCATGCATATATCATAACATTTAGAGTTTGAATTTCACTCAAGTCATACATGCATGTGTCCTTCTTGACTTGGTTTTTAGAATTCATCACATTTCTTACCGTTTGACCTTAATTGATCATGTTTTGAAGAGTCTAACTTCATATAAATTCATGCATGTTATCTTCAAGTTATGTTTTTTGAGCTTCAAGCTTGGTTTTGTATAATTGACTTATCCTTGGGCCGTTATTTTGTGAATTGATTTTGAATTCAAGTTGTTTTGCATGTTAAAACTAGTTTCCTTCAATTTTTGGCCCAAAGGATCATGAATTTTAGTTTAGAATTGGAGTTTTGAGCTTGGGAGCAAATCTGAAAATTCTAGAATTCTGTTCTTATGCTCGAGCAAAGGAACCTACGCTCGAGCGACCACTCTGAGTGTGTGCACTTCCGCTCAAGCGACCTAAAGTTGGTTCGAGCGTGAAATGCATGCTCCCAGAAGTTTACCATTTTTGTAGACTGCTCGAGTGACAAGGGTTGCGCTTGAGCGAGGACCTGAGTCTCACGCTCAAGTGACCGTCGAGCATAAAAATCACACAACCAGTACTTTTGCAGAAGTTTACAGACCTCTCAAGTAGCAGAAGTTGCGCTCAAGCGACCACTCATATTTTGCATGACCGCTTGAACGAAGGAAGTTGCGCTCGAGCGGGACCCCTGTTTTCAACAATTTTTATTAAGTGTTTCCAAGTACATTTTAGCATTCTCATTGTATCCTAGGCATTCCTAAGCCAAGGTTAAGGCATAATAATGAGGATAAGAAGTAGAAGCACACCAAGATAAGAAATGATTAAATTAATGATTCCGAGTGTCTAATTTAGTATGTGTTCCTTCTATAACTATGTAGGTCACGCGCCACAAGACATCTGATTTGCCTACTCTTTCTGTTTTCTTTGGAGCCAACTATGAGTAATAATTTAGTAAAGCTATGTTCAACTCTAATTATTTTCTGTATGATGAAACAAGATCTATTCTTTGAAATGTTACGTTCTATACAATAACTGATTATCCAAATTCTAACAAGTATTCGGGGCTCAAGTAAGTTATCTATACCTGGTCCGGAGGTTCCTTTATGGAACTAACGAGTTATCAGTACCCAACCAGAGGTTCCTTCATGGAACTAACAAGTAATCTGTACCCGGCCTGAAGGTTCGTTTATGGAATTGACAAGTTATCCGTACCCGGCCGGAGGTTCCTTTATGGAACTAACACGTATGATCTTCAATGCCCCGTATGTGATATCTTAGCGCTAGTGGATGTGAGATCAAATATGTATTTTGATTTCTATCATTGACTTGAACAAGAATATAAATATAAATCTGTTTTTGATAGGGGTGTTCGCAGATCGATTTTGTGCGGTTTGCGGTTCGATTTTGACCCGCCCGCATGTATGCGGTTTGGGAAAAAGTCAAACCACAACCGCCCGTGGTTTGCGATTTGTGCTGATCAGGTTTGCGGATGTGTGGGCGGTTGCGGGCGGTTTGCGGTTTGGATTATTTCCTTTAAAATTTAATTTTTGAGTTTTTTTTTCCCATTTTATAAATATTTATTTGGGTCATTTTCTTCCAATTTTCTAAAATGCTCCAGCATTAATAATTAATGAATTAAAGCTTATAAAATTAAAAACACAACAAAATCAATTCCTAACCCAAACAAATCATTCAACATGCTCCAACATTAATTGTGTACTTGGCCCTCTGGGATTCATTTTAGTAAAGAAAAATGAATATCATTTAAAAATAAATAAATAAATATGAACTTCCTTCAAGCAGTATTCTCACTGATTTATTTATTGAAAAAAATATTTTCTATAACCACCATGGGGAAACCATTAGACAGTTCTACAAATTGGAGATTGACACTAATTCACTAATTTCAATTTCAACAAATTAAAGATGAACAGGGACCATGAAAAACAACAAGAAATAACTCATGTAAAGGATTATTTGAATTTATAGGATGTTAAGAAAAAATTTACCTCCACAATGATAGGGTAAGTACACCTAAGGAACCCCAGAAAAGCAGTTCTTAAAGAATACTGAATACTGGCCATACGACCTCCCTTCACTGTCTCAAAGTTTGGTTCAAAATCAAGCAATGCAGAAAGAACAAAATTATAGCGGAGTGGCCTCTTTCCTTGCTATGGTTGCAAGACTGAAAATACACATCAATATTAGATACATAAAATATATAATAGGGAGAACAGTGAGACAATACAAGCAGGACAACATGAATTTAAGATCTCAATGACAACAAAAAATAAATAATAGAATAAGATCAAACAGCCAAGACAACAATAAATGCACAGTAACATAGCCTTGCTTCACAAAATGTACATGAAATAAAACCCAAACCACATTCGAAAAAATGTTAGCAGATTGGGGAGAGAGAGTGAGATCTGAAAAATGAGAGAGAGATGAGAAGATGATGGTCGATTGATGCGAGCTGTGCAGTTGAAAAACGAGAGAGGGTGAGACAGATTTGATTGCCTAAAAAAAACACAGATCGGGGAGAGAGAGCGAGACAGAGACAGAGATACAAATCATAGATCGAGGAGAGAGAGCGAGATAGAGATAGCCATACCTCAGAGTTGCCGGAGAGAGAGAGTCGATTGTGATAGTCGATCGTCGCGTGCGAGCTGCGCAAATGCAAAACGAGAGAGAGATGAGAAGATGAAGAGAGCTCTCTCTCAGTTTCAGTGAGTTAGTGAGATAAGAGAGTGAGATTAGGGTTTTGTTCTCAATTGGTTTTGTTTGGGTTGGGGCAAAAAAATATCATCTATGGATATTTCAGATGAACGGTCCAGTTTTTTTCCAAAAAAAAAAGAAAAGAAAAAGTGCGGGCGATTGTGGCGGGTGTGGGTCAAACCCGCAACCTGCCTGTAACCTGAAAAATTGAATTATTTCAAACCGCACCCTACCCTGTTGTATTTACGAAACCGCCCATTCGTATGCGGGTAGGGTCGGGTAGGGCGGGTCGGATAACCTTATACCTAGCCTTAGTTTCTGATATGAACTCTGACTTTTGAATATGTTATGGACATTATTCATCAAACCTTTTACTCTGTTATTATTCACTGAGCTTTCGCTCGTCGTTTATATTATGTATGTAGGTGAGCAGATACGTGACTAGGCCTAAGTTGCTTCCTGACGAGTTTTGGAGTCAGCCAGCAATCGTGCCTCCCATGAAGGTTCCCTTTCGAGATCTGATCAAGGTTTTGAGTCTTTAGGACTTTTGTATTTTTTGATGTTTATGTTTTGTTTGAACATGTTTTGGAAGTTCTGTATATGCGGCTTGGGTGACGTAAGACCAATGTATTTATGATGTCACATATATATAAGTTTGTTAAAAAGATTTTTTGTTTCATATACGTTAACACAACTATATGGACAATGTATATTTTTATAATTGCTTCTTCAGCCCCTTATTATATGTCATTCTGTTAAGAATCCTTTGGTAATCCAAGGATTACTAGCCGGTTACGACGCTAAACTTATAGGGGTGGGTTTGGGTCGTGACGGAGTGGTATCAAAGCACGTGTTCTACCGTACACACGAGTCCATATGAGCTTAGGATGTCCTAGTAAGAAATAGGAGCATTCCATCTGCATGTGTGGGTGTGTGTGTTCTTTAAATATGAAGACTGAATTTGACCATAACCCATGAAATTGAAATGAATGATCTGAATATTGAAAACAAGGACTATTTGCCTATGTTTATGGTGCTTTGTTTACCTATAGCAAATGGAAAATACAAGAAGCAATGGAACAACTGAGTCATCTGAGGCTCGAATGAGCCGAATGGAATAAATGCTTGCAGCTCTGACAGAAGCACTAATATAGCAATAGAGGCAACAACCTATACCCCCTCTGCCTTCACCAGCACAAAATGAGCCAAATAACAATGATGTAATCAACTTGACTTAGAAATTTATGAAGATGAAGCCGCTAACTTTCTTGCGTGGCATTGAACCCTTAAAAGCAGAAACCTGGTTGCTCGAAATGGAGAAACTATTTGAAGTATTTCCTTACTCTGAAACACAAAAAGTTCTTTTGGCCACCTATACATTAAAAGATGAAGCCCGAAGATGGTGTTTATTGATCCGAACTAACAATAGGAACAGATGTGGGCATAGTTTAATGAGATTTTCTACAACAAGTATTTTCCCTAATGCTTCAAAGATTGAAAACTGTTAAAATTTCAAGTACTCAAACAAGGCAGGATGTCAGTGGCCGAATATGAGGCCAAGTTTACCGAGTTAGCCTGTTTCGTCCCACACATGGTGGACACCGATTACAAGAAGGCACGAAAATTTGAAGGCAGTTTGGACTTAAAGTGTTCGACCGCGTTGGCGTCTTGAAATTGCCAACATATATAGAAGTCCTTGATAGAGCATTGATGGCGGAAACCATTTTGGTAGCAAAGAAACCAGTTCCAACTCCAACAACTGAATGAAAGGGTAAACAGCCCAGATTCAATTTTAAGAAGGGCCGATCATTTCTAAAGAGGTAGAATACGAGATTCTCTAGTAGCTCTAACCAGAGTAGTGGCTCCACTTTAAACTGTCCCGATTGTAGAAGGAAACATAAAGGCCTATGTCACCGTGCCTCTGGTGCGTGTTTTTGGTGTGGCAAGACTGGCCACATGATTTGAGATTGTCCGTTAAGGTTTGAGAATGCTAACCGCCTTGCCGCAAGTTCAGCCAGATCTGCTCTTACAACGAGAACCAATGCAAGAGCTAATATCAGGGGTAATACCGAGATTGAAACACTAAGACAGAGGAGAGTGTTTGCATTAGTGCTTGGAGATGTGCAAAACACCGAATCTGTGGTGTCAGGTATAATCTCTATCTGTGCTCAGAATGCCTATGTGTTAATAGATTCTGGCTTCACTCATTCATTTGTATCACATGTTTTTTCTCAGAAATTAACTAGACTAGTAGAGCCTATGAATTGTTTACTATCTGTGTCTACACCATCTAGAGGTTCTATGATATGTGCTTATGTATATCCAGCCTGTGATGTTGTGATTGGTGACATGACATTGTATGTTGATTTATTACCCTTAAAGATTGATCATTTTGACTGCATATTGGGTATGGACTAGTTAACGAAGTACTGTGCAACTATTGACTGTGTGAATAAGTCTGTTATATTTCGTCCACATAGCATACTTGAGTTTATTTTTACTGGAACTGGAGTGGTCCCTCCACCGTACTTTATTTCATTTATGAAAACCAAGAGATTGTTAAGAAAAGTTTGTTGGGGCTACTTATGTTGTGTGTTGACTGTATCTTCAGATAGTGTTAATGTGGATACAATTCCTGTGGTCTGTGAATTTCCTGATGTATTTCCTAATGACTTACCTAGAGAGTTAATTGATAGGGAAATCGAGTTTACTATTGATATTGTACCTAGGACACAATCGATTTCTAAAACTCCATACAAAATGTCCACTTCTGAACTGAAAGAATTGAAAGTCCAACTCCAAGAACTCTTACACAAGAAATTCATTTGTCCAAGCACGTCACCTTGGGGTGCTCCAGTTTTGTTTATAAACAAGAAGGATGGGTCTTTGAGGTTATGTATAGACTATCGTGAATTGAATAAAGCAGTCGTGAAGAACAAATGCCCACTACTCCGAATAGATGACCTATTTGGCCAACTCCAGGGAGCCCAAGTGTTTTCTAAAATTGACCTTAGATCTGGGTATCACTAGTTAAAGGTCAAGGAAGAAGACAGAGAAATTTGCATTCAGAACTAGATATGGGCACTATGAATTTTTGGTAATGCTATTTGGGGTAACTAATGCACCTGCGGCGTTCATAGATTTAATGAATAGGGTGTTCAAACAATTTTTGGATGAATTTATTGTTGTCTTTATTGATGATATACTGATTTACTCCAAAAGCAGGGAAGGGCATGAGAACCATTTGTGAACTACTTTACAGATTTTGAGAGAAAAGAAGCTGTATGCAAAATTATCCAAATGTGAATTCTGGCTTGACATTGTGGGATTTTTGGGACATGTAATCAACAAGGATAGTATCTCTGTCGACCCACAGAAAATTGAAGCTATTGTGGACTGACCTAGACTGACAAACGTGTCGGAAGTTAGAAGTTTTATGGGACTTACAGGTTACTACAGAAGATTTATGAAAGACTTTTCAAAACTTGTTATGCCATTGACCCAGTTGACCCAGAAAAATGTATCATTTGATTGAAACAATCAAAGAGAGTTTGTCTTCCAAGAGTTGAAGACTAGGTTAGTAATTGCACCAATTTTGACCTTGTCTAATGGTACCGATGGGTTTTAGATCTACAGTGATGCCTCCTATAAAGGCTTAGATTGTGTGTTAACGCAGAATAGAAAGGTAATTGCTTATGCCTCTTGACAACTCCGTCCTCATGAAAAGAACTATTCGACTCATGACCTTGAATTGGCAGCCGTGTTGTTTGCTTTAAAAATTTGGCACCATTATCTGTATAGAGTAACTTGTGAAGTATATACAAATCATAAAAGCCTAAAATATTTCTTCACCCAAAAGGAGCTGAACATGAGATAGAGAAGATGGCTGGAATTAATCAAGGACTATGATTTGCAAATTCTATATCATCTTGGAAAGGCAAATATTGTTGCAGATGCATTGAGCCGAAAAGCTATTGGGAACCGGTCGGAGAGAGTTATTGTGTGACTTGGAAAAGAATGAGATTGAAATTGTATTGCACGAACAAGGCGAGATCTTGGATGCCATTTCTACCCAACCTACAATCATTGAAGAAATTAAAGAGAAACAACATGAAGATAAGTTTTTGAAGAAAATTTTTGATGAAATTGACTCAAAGCTGAGGTCAAGATTTGTGATTGATAATGAAGTACTGAAATTTTAGAATAGACTTTGTGTACCAGATTGTTGTGAGTTGAGGAAACGTGTTATGACTGAAGCCCACAATTCGAAATTTGCTATGCATCTGGGAAATACAAAAGTGTACCATGACTTGAAACAGAACTTCTGATGGTCTGGAATGAAGAAAAGTATTGCTAACTTTGTGGCTAGATGTTTGCACTACCAACAAGTTAAAGCTAAACATCAACGACCTGCTGGATTGTTTCAGTCGCTTCCAATACCGGAATGGAAATGAGAGCATATTACCATGGATTTTATTATTGGACTGCCTCGCTCCTCCCATTGTGTGGATTCTATTTGAGTTATTGTTGACTGTTTAACTAAGTCTGCCCATTTTCTGCCTTTTAATCTATATACAATGCGGACAAATTAGCCAACGTTTATATGAATGAGATTGTGAGGCTATATGGTGCACCAGTATCCATTGTATCTGACAGAGATTCAAAGTTCACATCAAGGTTTTGGAAAAGTTGCAACAAGCTTTGGGGACTGAACTGAAGCTAAGCAGTGCTTATCACCCACAGACAGACAACCAAACAAAATGAACCAATCAAACTTTGGAAGATATGTTACAAATGTGTGTGTTGGACTTCCAAGGGAATTGGGAGACTTACCTTCCTTTGGCCAAGTTTGTATACAATAATAGCTATCATTCAAGTATTGGAATGGCTCCCTATGAAGCTTTGTATGGTAGAAAGTGCCGTTCACCAATATGTTGGGCCGAGGTAGATA